ATGCAATCCAACATAACAAAAATATATCATCCAAACATAGTCTAACAAATCAAAGTAAACAATAAAAAAAATAGTCCAACATAAAAAAAATTTAAACACTAACAAATCTAGTTATCCCACTCATCACGAACTCTAGATCTATCAGTGCGAGGATGCGAGGACGGACAGTCATCCACAAAATGCTGTGGATTACCACATCTACTACACTGTCCTTTATCAGCCCGGCGACGTGCCCGACGATCCATTTGCATGCGATGACGCTTCGTTTGCGCGCGACCGGGTCCAGCCTTCGTGATAATCCTCTCCCAATGTGGTAGTAAGGTCCATCCGACCATCGGCCATGTGTCCGGATCACCAATCGGAGCAAAACTCCAATTAGAAAATTGAGCCACCCAATTCTCCGTCCAAAAGTGGGGATCGTATAAGGTTCTTGGTTGACCTTTTATTTGACGACACACAGCTATAGCATGAGAGCATGGTTTCCTGTGTGTCTGCCACTTCTGACAACTACAACGCATCCGGTTGTACGAAACCTTATACCTGTTTTTCCACATTTAATTATATTTATAAACAACTAAAAATTTGAATGAACCAAAATAAAAAAAAAAAAAATTATACAATAAATAAATAAACCGTATACTTACTTTTTGTCCCCTCTACCATCAGCCCGTAGATCGGTTGTCACCTTGTACAGGGATCTCTCCGCGTTCGAACATCGCACCTCATGAGTTGCGGCCGTAGTCTCCAATTCGCAATAAGCGGCATAGTGGGCACTAGCAATGGCATTACTGCATCTCGTGGACTTCTTTTGTTCCTGCTCAAACAAGTCCAGAGTTTTCGTGAATGTGACGTGTACCAAAGCTCGGCAGGGCAAGAACCTAACACCTTTCAGGACGTTGTTGTAACTCTCGGACATGTTGGTAGTCAAAGTACCCCATCTACGTCCTCCGTCTCCAAACAAGGTCCACTTGTCTAGAGGAATTCTGAACAGGTACTCGTATGCGTCCGGATTAAAATCCAAAAGCCGCGATAGTATCTGTTCAAATTTTTTCTCTGAAACTTGTGAACCCAACTCCCAACACCAATTTCGGATTTTGTTATTCCTGTACCTAGTAACCACGTTGCTCCGAAGGTGTCGAAGACAAATCCGGTGATATGCAGCGGGTTCTTGCCAAGCTTCCAATGATTCCACGGCACTGTAAGCCCGCATCCCTGTCCGAAAGAAAGCATATCTGTCTGTCGCCGACAACATGTTGCCGGAGATTTGTCAGGAAAAATGACCAGCTTTCCTGGCTCTCTTCATCGACAATCGCATAGGCAATTGGCAATAGCCGCTTATTCGCAGTCTGTGCAACGGCCACGAGCAACTTCCCCTTGTACGAGCCACGCAAATGTGTGACGTCCATACTAATTACCGGCGAGCATCTCTGAAAGGTCTGAATGGCGGGACCAAACGCCCAGAAAACAAATTTGAATTCTCTGTGGTGATAGTGGGCCGCTATTTCCTCACCTTGCCATTCCCACTCTACAACCGTAGTGGGATTCGCACTTTGAAGCGCCGCAAAAAACCTGCACGTTACAAAACGAAATCGTCAATACATAAACATAGTGACAAATAACACGTACATTTTTAATAAGCGTTTTTCTTACTGAGGGAGTTGTGCGAAGTTCGATTCCCAAGTGCCATACAAACGATCGATAGCCTTTTTCCTCCCGTGCCATGCCTTCTTGTAGCTCACATCGACTTTCCAACATTTTTTAACATCCTCCTGGATCAAGGTAACACTGTAGTCGGGTTTCTTTTGAATCTTGGTCATGACAAGATGTGAAATCATTGTGGCGGTTACATTTCTGTGGTCATTTTTTTCGACTTCTTGCATACAACTGTGCCTCTCAGTCCATTCTCTTACTTCCCACATTTCATGAACCCGTGTGCAGTGCGTCACCCGAGCCATCCACGGACAAGGTTCATCTTCGTTAGATGTGCACACCACCTTGAATGTTTTCTTATTCGAATATGTTGTCTTAACCTCCCTCAACCTACTAACGTTCCAACTCATGATACCCATCTGTGCATCTTTCTTGGACCGGAAAACAGTACCCAAACGGATAGTATCGACATGCCCATCCCACACTGGCAAGGCATACTCATCACGGTCTACACACGACGGGTCCCACTCACCCATCTTGCGATACACATGCTGACCGGTACTAGGAAATGGGTGTTCTTCAATAAATTCTGGTTCACTCTCCTCGTTTATTGATCTATCTGTTTCCGAGGTACCATCTGTGAAACCGTCTTCACCGCGAACGAAATCATCATCACCCTCATTATCGCATTCTCTAACTGTTGAGCTTGTCCCTTCGCCAAAATTACGAACATGCGAAGTGGACGTACCCTCAACATCAGCCACTCCCCAGTAAAAAGGGGCAACATCCTCAAACTGCGTAACCTCTGTAGGTGCCTGCGTAACCTGCTTCAACTCTAAATGCAAATACACATAGGAAAAAGGAGGGGAATAATATATCCAGTCAAGAGCACTATCAGTATTCAGGTTTCCAATATTCCACGAACCATCGCGTTGGCTACTCAGTAAACTAATCTTCTCAATTATCCAACCATCTCGATGAAACCCAAAATTTTCATAAAGAATATCTACCAATTCTTTAAATGATAGCTTCTCCCCAATGCTAAATGAACCATCCGGAGAGTTTTTAAAATCAGAAAAATCATATAACAACTCCTTCGGAACATTCCAATACACATTAACAAAGTATGGTCCGGTAGACGCCATTTATACCTGTTGCAAAAAACAATTTTTCTCAATTACAACAACACATACTTTCTAACCCAACACCAAGAAAATTCAATTATTCTTTTATCATTCACACAACAAAAAAATAAAATTCATCAATAACATATAAACACTTTCAATTCTTCCCAATTAAAACATCACATAATTTCCCAAAAAATTCAATTATTCTTTTACTCAATTCAACATAAGTATTTCCAATTAATACTACAATAACAAAAAAAAAAA